CTTCCGGATTCACTTCCATCTTGGTCGTCGTGGACCGCCTGTCCAAACAGTGCATTTTCATCCCTACCCACGATACCATCACCTCTCCGGAACTGGCTAAGCTCTTCCTCCTCCATGTATTCTCCAAGCACGGAGTTCCATCCCATGTCACCTCCGACAGGGGTCCGGAGTTTGTCTCCCATTTTTTCCGTTCACTTGGTAAGGCCCTCGACATCCGCCTCCACTTCACCTCCGGCTATCACCTGGAAGGAGACGGTCAGACCGAACGGATGAACCAGACGCTCGAGCAGTACCTGCACATCTACAGTAACTACCAGCAGGACAATTGGTCCGAACTCCTGCCTCTCACAGAGTTCGCATACAACAACGCTCCGAATGCCACCACGGGCGTCTCCCCATTCTTCGCCAACAAAGGCTACCATCTGAACATCACCGTTCACCCGGAGCAAGACCTGACATCAGTACGTGCCCAAGAGTACTCCGTCGATCTCGACTCCCTCCACCACTTCCTTCGCGAGGAAATGCACCTCGCTCAGATCCGTTATCAGGGCCCGGCAGACTCCTGACGGAGCCCTGCCCCAGCTTTCGAAGTAGGAACCTCGGTCTACGTAAAGGCCAAGTACTTCCGCTCCACCCGACCTTCCAAAAAGCTCTCCGAGAAAAACCTCGGCCCATTCGAGATCATCGCCCGCATTGGAACTCACTCCCTCACTCTCCGCCTGCCAGAAAACATGCGAGCCATTCACCCGGTATTCCATGTATCGCAGATTGAACCCTCCGTCCTGAACACCATTCCGAACCGCCACCAGCCACCTCCGCCTCCTGTAGAAATCGAAGGCGAGATGGAGTTCGAGATCGAGGAGATACTCGACTCCAAGATTGACCAACGTAGACGCAACAAGTTGCTCTACTTGGTCAAGTGGCTAGGCTATGAAGGGACCGACGAGGAGACACAATGGCTCCTTGCCGGTGAACTCGATCACGCCTCCGACCTTGTCGAAGCGTTCCACTCTCAGTACCCAGCGAAGCCTGGACCCGAAGCTCCTTAGGAACCCTGACTCCTCTCCCATTTCTCCTTCTCCCTTCACTCCTCACTTCCGTTTTTCATTTTCCCACTTTCTCTTTCTCTGTAAGTACAGCTCCCCTCACCTTACTAATTCTGGGCCTTCAAGGGTTCAGGCCTAAGAAGGGGATACTGTCATATCCATCCCCGGCCATCGACTTCCGGTCCCTCCGTTCCCCTGGACTAACTCCGCTCCCTCTTCACTAACCTCAGAGCTCCCATATTCCGCAATCCTCTCGGTACCCCTCGATGGTCACCACCCCCTCATTTCAATTTATTACCTACGCCTCCCTAAGTACGGAGCCCCGAAGACTTCCGGACAGCTCCGACATCCGCTAGCGCACTCCCGCCTCCGCTGGGCAATACACTCGCCTGCCCTGCAGAGCCCACCTTCGGGCCTATCCCTCCTTTCCGTTTCTGGGTTATCGCCTGCCTCTCCGCTAACCCCGCGACCCGACTCGTCGGTAATATTCAGTCGGCTAATGTTTAACCCCGTTAGCTCCGCTCCATTCGGCTCCGCCAATTGCGGACCCGTCTTCGCTGTAACCATATATATATCCCACTTGTACATAGGTTACACCCCAGTAATAAAATCAACTAGAGTTACCCCCCTTAGGTTCTGATCACCAGTCAGTAAGTTAGGGCACGGACGTGTCACTAGGCACAGCGCTCCTGGCAGAAGTCGCTGAGGCCAAAGCCCTCCATTACGGAGACACTCCCTCATCTCGAATCCGGTCTCTGACACCGTGTTTATATGTCGCTCTAGGGCAGGCATGGTGGTGTAGCGAAATGGTGCGTTGGAGTGGCCAAAAAAGGGATGGGATGGCCACTTTCCATACAAATGGGTGGGACTTTGCGATTTTGCATGTGAGTGTGCATTTCTTTGATTGATTAGACGAATTTCTGCACTGGCTGGAGGAGGGAGCTCAAAGAGCCAGCTGAGGGCGTCAGCAACCACCTGACAAAAAGCAGGACTGCACCTCAGCCTCATTGATGGTGTCACTAACCTACTCTTGGTTGAAAGGTTGACATGCTCCATTACACAAAAGATACTGGACACGGCCCCAACAGAAGTACCCGTAATTTTCTGGAACGCATGGTGCATTCGAAGGGCTTTTAAATGCTGCTGTGTAGATGAATGCCTGGGTATCAGCTTCATCCATGGAGTCATTGAATTTAATGACACAATCATCGAATAAGAGGATACAAAATGCAGGGGGATCCTGCATGGCGCTTTGAACAGCAACAGCTTCAAGGTGGGAAATAGTTCACACAGATGGGGCGTGACATGTGGGACTCCATGGGTGCAAAGGGCAAAGTAAATGAGAGACGCTGGGGAATTAATATGCATGAAATTAAATACTTTATGCACCTAAATTATGAAGAGAAAGGGGACGTAGCCTCCTGGCTCTCCTCCATGGAAGCGCTGGGCTTAATTCCGTTTTGGTCCTAGCATCCAGTGGGGTGCACAATGGAGCTTGTTAATGATGTGAGATGCATCGATCGCACAGATGAATTTACATAAATGTACCCACATCGATGACGAAACGGATCCTGTTCGTAATCAGAAGCTCCCATGTGTCAGATGTATGTGTGTGTGCCATACAACACTATTGACTCCATGGTAGCCTGCGAAATCCTTCTTAATTGTTGGCGCTGCAGGACACTTCTGAAGAATGTCTGCTAAAACTAAAGCACCTGGGTCAAGGTCAAAATCAACGACACTGCAAGGATTTTCCCTCTGTTGATCCTGGTAGAAGCCCTTTTTAGTGGAGTAGTTATGTAGTCAACCAAGTCCAACATGTTAGGAAGGCTGCAGGTGGCTCAATGATAAGGATATACATGAGCGCTGTTCCCCCAACATCCGGCCTAGTACCAACTCCACACCAGTGGCACTGAGACACGCCCGACCAGGCTATCAGCTGCTAGATGATGTCATGTTTGAGGAAATGAAGCAGGCGCATCAGGGTAGAAATAAGTAATCCTGTAGAGATGCTATCAATGTGTTGGGAGCTTGACACGATACCAGAATGAGGGCACGAGATTGGACTCCATGAAAATGCATTATCAAGAGTAACACTGGACAGCTATGTTGGCCATTATCGTTCCATGCCACCACCAAAGAGGAAGTGGCAGGTGCCGATAACCTGATTCCCTTTTTTTTTGCTGTTGTTGCTTGATACATCCAATGAGAGTGCAAGCAGAAATGTCCATCGATGCTTGATAATGAAATTCTTCAGGTTGGGTATTTCCTAAACCCCTTGAGTTTCCAGTGGGTCCGTTCGTTTGTCAGGTTGTGGGCTACTTATGCGGGTAATATTGTGGGCTTGTGTGGGCAAGGGGAAATTCAGCTGACTTATCTTTCCATTGCTTTAACTCCCCTTCGGCAGCACTCGACACGTGGATGCAGACTCTACTTTTAGTTCTCCTGGAGTCCATATCATTACTCATGAAGGACTCCAAATGAAGCAGGCTTTTGGCATGATGACATATGGCTATATTCCATTTTATGGTTCAATTAATTCTTTCCCTTCTCCCGAGACTTCTATCACCATCCAAAGGTCTTCAAGACCTCCAGACTCATCCCAATCCCATGGCTTCCAACTCGCACCTTCCTCCGAGCATGCTTCCCTTTAATCTAGGTCCATCTTGATATACGATTTACGTTCCGCAGCTGACCCTGAAAGGAGTTCAACATCCGAGCCCCATTTTGTATCTTTCGCTGAGGGCCCAAATAATCAACAATCTGTCAGGGACTGTGCATCAGTTTGCGGCGATGAGGGTGTTCCTGAGAATCCTAGTCATTATTAACGCTGAGGTGCCACCCTCAGTGAAGATAGAGGTTATATACATGGGTACTGCTACCCACTAGAGTGCAGCTACAATGAGATAAGAGATAACTGATAGGATGACAACATGAAAAGATAGCTATTCATTCAGGTAATCGTAAGTGAGGTGTGGGAAAGGGGTGACATGTGGATGGAAGATAGAAGCAGGATGCTAAGCGAGAGCTAAGTGAGATTACCTGTGTTCTTTGGATCACTCCGGATCATCCTATGGCAACTCCCTTCTGGCATAGGGAGTCAGGGTAGCTGGTTAGGCCGTGCCCTGATGCAATCCTAAACCCCCAATGAGGAAGAGTGCCACAACAGGTGGCATCCACACGTTATGTTCTCAATGTATATTTTTGTGGGCTCATCCAACACTTCCGGCTGTGGGATGAATTTATTTAGAGTATGGGGAATTTTGCACTCACTTGGCAGGTCTATCTGCTGCCAACCCTTCCTTTTGCCTTACTTGTGCGAGTACTTAGTTTAGATGAATTGCAACATGCCCAGAGTCTTGAGCCTCACCCTATATACCTAGTGTCAATCTAAATCTTCCGCTTCAGTTCAAGATGTAAATGGATCGTGTGCATCCATTAATTAATGTCAGAGGATAATTGGCCAGCATTTGACACCTGAATTGCCAAATGTCAATGAAGGGGCTCTATTTTCCCACATCAAATCTCTGGGCCCACAAAACGCTCCCGGATGTTTGCATGTACCTGGACAAGTGAGCTGCTGGTTCTGTAGACTGTTTCCGTGGAAGTATTGGACATCTCTTTGTTCATAATACAAGTATCATAGTGGTCCATGCCTATGAAGGCTACTTTGAAATTGCTGACCTAAATCAAGTATATTGTAGATACATCAGCTTCACGTCCTGTTGCAACCCTTCATTTGCACAATTTCGTGGCCAATGCACACACCTTGCTTTGACTAGAGATGTCCTATTTCCAAAAGGGGAAGCATCAAATAACCCTTTGTTCTCCCAATTGGATTTGCATCAGTGTCTATCTGCTGCCTTTGACTTATATTGGGTAGGACGTGGTTGAGCAAGCTGTCCGGGTTTTCCTCTCTCACCTCCTGCATCAATCACGATCTGCGCTGGTGCTATGGCTCCCAAGAGAAAACCCTCGTCTCAACATCCCACCTTTGCGCCATCTTCTGGTGACTCGCAGTCATCACAACCCTTGACTTCCTCACTTCCCCAGATTCATTTCACAAGAGTTTGGACAGACCAAATCCATGATGAAACCAGCTATGTTCAACATGATAGATCGGGAGGTCCCAATCTCCAGCCTACCGGGGTCCCATCTATGTTGCGTTCCCCCAGCAGATCCCGAGATTCGAAACGACAGATGTCTCCAGGGCACCATTTAATGAGCGACCCTAGAGGAAATCCTCATTCCAACCTATTGGACTCACCAAATCCCCCAGGGTCTATGCCAACCACACCCGATCTTTCAGCCCTTGGTGGTTGGGAGCTGCCGCTATTCTGCCCTTGGCGGAGTGTTGACAACCTGCACTCGACGCCCATAACATATCCCATTCATGGCCCCAATGCAATCCTCAACACACAGAGAGAGCACCCAGGTATGGACATTGTTGCACCTCCCCCAGAACCAGCGTCTTCGTCATCAGCCATCCCAGATGGTGATCAAAAGAAAACAGTTCTCAGCGCCACAAAGCTCCTACTCCAAACCGCATCCTCTGCTCTCAAGATATCTCCTATTCCATATGTCAGCCAAATCCTGGACCTCCTTCTGGCATTGCTCCAAGCTTATGAGGTTTGCATAGCAATTTGGTTTCATGATCGATCAGTGATCAGGTGACACATTTTTTTCTTACCCACACAGACCATTGACATGTCAGGATCCGGACCCCAGCTGGGAGTGGCCAGAGGGCAAGGCCGGGTGTGGAAGCTGGGGTGCTCTCCCCAGCTGTTAACTCCTCGAAGTTGCTGAGGGGACTAGCCTCAGCCTTCACAGGGAATGAGCTGAGAAGAAGGGTAAGCTTCTCAGCCCCCTGTGAGGCCAACTCAAAGGGACCCTAGGAACTATACAGTTCCCGCTTGCTGCTGACTTTCCATAATGGGTTCATGCACGTGCATCATTGTGTGAAACAGTGGGGGGAAGGATAGGGGGAATGGGGAAATGTGGGGAGAGGGTGGTTAGGGAAAGGGTGGTTAGGGAAAGGGTGAGGGTGTCTGAGGGTGGGTGGGGTCAAGGGCTGTGCCCTGACATGACAGCAATAATGAAAGTCCTAAGGGCCTTAATGACAAGGTCCAAAAGGCTTACACTGCCATCCTGCAGCCACTTGAACTGTATGCCGGTCAAACTGTCCCTCCCGAATTAATTGCTCCACTCAAAAAATTTCACGGGTATGTTACATACTCCTCCCTTGGTCACTCGGAGAATCTCAGAGCTTCTTCCTAGTGCATTGGAAGAACAGATCAACCATATTGAATTCCTCAAGCATCAAGGGCTCTTCAAGAGAATGGTGATGGCATCAAATATCGCCAACGATATAAGCAACGTGAAGGCATGCATCAATAAGGCTATTACTTTGGTCTCGGACTGCTCGCTTTCTCTTTTGAGCATTGGATGCTAGCTGACTGAAGGACTCAACAGATGGAGGCATCGATTTTAACCCTGATGCAGACAATTCAAGCATCGATGGAATGTATGTTTTTATGTGAGTGTTTTTGGACACCCTTGCTGACATGCTTTCAGTGGAGCTATCAAAACTCAAGCGAGCACCTGCCGAACACACTTACATGAAGAGCAAGTCTGAATGCCTCCCAACTGTCATGGCCATGCATTCTGGCCCGTTAGCCACCCATCCCAATGCCACCCGAGCCCATTCCTGCTATGCGAGTGTGAGCGCGAGCCCTGACCTCAGCCCTATCCTCCCTGAGGACTCCCTGCTCACTCCCCTGCTTGCCCCTAGGCTCCCCTGCACCTGGCTGACTCCCCCACAGCCACACCAACCTTCCCACCCCAAGTCCGCCCCCAGCACCGTGCCCAGTGTGACTCCTCTACCCCGCCCACTTGGCCCCTACAGGGCTGCTACCATTCCCGCGCCCGACTCCGGCCCAACTCCGAGTCCAGTGCCGCTATGATACCATCGCCGCTATCGCAGCCCTACACTCCTTCCTTTATTTATGTGTTATTGTTTGTTTTGACCCTCGGTCATTGCCGGCCGCTATGCGGCCAACCCCGCTCCTTATTCCTGTTTGCTTCCGGACCCTTCGGCCTTCGGCCCGGGTCCGCTTCCATTCATTCTTTCTCCCTATATATATCCTGTATGATACCTTAGCTCTAATATCGATTTGACCACGACCCCCAAGTCCCGACCCCAGCAAGGCAACCCCAGTAAGTCTGAAATGAGGGCCAAAAGACAGCTAGGGGGCACAGCACTCCTTTAGAGTCGCTGAGGCCAAATGCCCTACCCTCGGGCCTTGTTCACAGCATCATGGCCATCGTGGCCTATAGTGGCCTGCTAACAGTGACCTTCGGTGCTGACCCCAGACCAGTGTCTAACACCAACCACACAGGTCAAAGTACAAGATTCCATACTCCATCATCTGAAGGATACCAAGACCCATTTGTCTGGTTATGGGGTTCCCCAGGGACAGGGAAGATGTCATATCCATCCACGGCCACTACCTCCGATCCTTCCAGATTACCTCTGCTCCTTCTTCACTAACCTTGGAGCCCCTGTATTCCGCAATCACCTCTGACTCCTTCGATGGTCACCACCCCCTCTTTTCAATATATTACCTACGCCTCCCTAAGTATGGAGCCCTGAAGGCTTCTGGACAGCTCCGATGTCCACTAGTGCACTCCTGCCCCCGCTGGGCAATTCACTTGCTTGCCCTGCAAGTCTACCTTCGGGCCTATCCCTCCTTTCTGTTTCTGGGTTATCGCCTGCCATTCCACTAACCCCGTAACCTGACTTGTTGGTAATATTCAGTTGGCTGATGTTTAACTCCATTAGCTCCACTCCACTTGGTCCCACCATTCACAGGCCCACCTCGTTGTAACTATATATACTTAACTTGTAGATAGGTTACACCCCAGTGATAAAATCGACTAGAGTTGATCCCCCTTTTTAGTTCTCATTGCCAGTAAGTAAATTAGGGCACAGACGTGTAACTAGGCACAGCGCTCCTGGTCTGAGTCGCTGAGGCCGAAGCCCTCCACCATGGAGACAACTCCTTCATCTTGCTTCTGGTCTCTAACAGTATTTTATCACTCCCTGACAGTACACATCTTGTATGGCACCCAAAGCCCCTTGCACTCGTTCACAACTACACACATTGGTTCCTAACTCTGCCTCACCATCCCCTGAACCCTCACAGCCTGGTCCTAGTCATCTGGCGAGAAACCCAGTTGAGTTTCGCAGCTTCTCTAATTTAGAAACCCCTCTCCCATCGACTCCGATCATGTGTCCCATTAGAAATTGATCACCAGTTGCAGATTCCGACTTCGGAGATGCCACGGAACAGCCCATAGATCCAGTTCACTTCTTTGGACTCGGTTCCGAGGTCCCTGATTTCGTCGACCCTCCTGCTCTGCCTGGCCCGGACCCGCCCAATCCCGTCGTCCTCCACCCAGTACTTCTACCCTCCCGCTGCCCTGCTTCCTCCCTTCTCCCCTCTTTCTTCTCCTTCCTTTCTTCTTTCCTTTTCCTTTTCCTTCTCTTCTTTCATTACATGGACGACTTTCCTTATACCAATGTACCATTGACCCGACTGTGATGTAACATGCCCGGACCCGGGTGCACTGGGTGACTTCCTGTGCACCGGGCACTCCTAGGATCTCTTGCAGAGATACCCGGATGGGTGTGGCTGTGTCTGTAGATGACGTGGCGCCTCCCACGTGTCCTCAACTGCATGTATATAAACATAGCCTAAGTGGGAACTGAGAAGTAGCCTTCTTCTCACATTTCCCACTTCAGGCAAGTAGCTTATTTCCCTTTCTATTAATAACAATTCACATTTCCCACTTCAGCCTGAGTGGCCAGGGAAATCTGTCTGCATCGGACCTGCTGCCACACATGCCCATGTCACACCCTACTGGGCCCTCAGCACCAGGCGATATACCCGGACGCTCTTGACCCCAGGTCGGTCCCTGACATGCCCCCTTGCTTTCACTAGCAACCATGCCAAGGTCATCTTCGTGCAGTCCTACCTCAAAGGGATGGCTCTTGATTGGTTCGAGCCGGACCTGCTGTTCGATCAAAATTCTCTACTTTGTCCTCGTTGGATGAATAACTACCAGGAGTTCGTCAACGAACTTCAGACCAACTTCAGTCCTCATGATCCTGTGGGCAACACTGAAGTCCAACTTATGAACCTGGATATGAAGGACGGGCACCACATCAATAAGTACGTCGTTGAGTTCAATCGACATGCGTCTCAACTTCACGGTTATGGAGAAGCCATGCTCCATCATTTTTTCTATAATGGATTGCTGGAATGTACCAAGGATGACATTGCCAGGGTAGGGAAACCTTCTACCCTTTCGGAACTTTGCACCCTTTCACAGACCCTCGATGTGTGCTATTGGGAGCGTAAAACCGAAGTAACTCATCATGTGAAACCCTCCTCCAATGTCTTTGACAAGACCACTACCGCTTCTCGCTCTGACCCCGTTCCTTCCTCCTCCTCCTTGTTCAACTCCGCTTCCAGTAGCAAGCCTCCAAAGGACAACAAGAAGTCTGAGGCCAGCTCCGCTAAGCTGAATCTTTCTCCAAAACTCGGAGACATTAGCAAGCTCATGCCACAAGAGCGTAAGCATCGTCTCAACAAGAAACTTTGCATGTTCTGCAGTCAGTCTGGCCACATGGTCAAGGATTGTCCCAAGTCTTCTTCTCACGCATCTAAGGCCTGCATGGCCCAGACCGAGGAGCAAGGTGTCAGGGATGCATCCGGGGTAGAGGAGACCCGGGTGAGATGCCCGACACTAGAAGTCTCATGGGGTGTGGAGCGGGCATGTGTACTGGTGGGCCTGGCTCAGGAGACAGTCCCTGGCCACTTAGACTGAAGTGGAAAAGGGTGTTATTATTATTAAAAGGGAATGCTGTGCTACTTACCTGAAGTGGAAAAGGGTGAGAAGAAGGCTACTTCTTCGGTTCCCACTTCAGGTATGTTTATATACATGCGGCTTGGGTCACATGACGGGTGCCACATCATCCTCGCATACAGCCGTAGTCACCTGGGTGTCCCCATGGGGGATCCCAAGGGCATCTGCTGTGAATGCGTGAGCTGGACATAGTGGGGGGTCGCCTGAAGTGCCCAGGCTGGGCATGTCATGAGCACGCTGCAGGTGGGTCAATGGTACATTGATACAGAGAAAGGTCGTCTGTGTAGAATAAAGAGAAAATAAAGAGAAAGCGAAATAAATGAAGAGGAAATGAAATGGATGGTTTAGCCGTAACCCCCAATGGACTTGACGGACGTCTTGCATGTCTTTGTCTCACATGTCTTGCCTATTTCAGTTCCATCCCAATTCATGTAGCTTTGTGACTACCTGTATGACTCGGATGTCTCTCTTGTTTCATCTCACATGTGTTAGCCTGTTTTCATGTATATAAGGAGTTGACCAGTGAAGACGGATTCTTCAATTGGTCAACACAGGTTGCCAACCTGAATTGACTTCTTGTGATCTTGTGACTTGTGGCTCGTGATCTTCTTGCTTGTGACCTCGCTTCTTGTGATCTCACAACTCTTGCTCTGTTCCGCTCCATTCTCACGCTCTTAGCACCGAGAGGTTTGTCACAGTTTGACCAGTTCCAAAACACACAACTTCCGGAACAGGTTATGTCTTTCTCGGATCAAACTATGTCTGCAAGCTCTACTCCTGGTCCTAGCAATCAAGACCCTACTGTGCTCAATTCGGAAGTCTTGCTGAACTTGTTGCAGCAGCAGATGGTTCAGCATCAGGATCTGATGACTGCAATCCAGGTGCAGCAACAAGATCAACAGACTTTGATGAACACGGTTCAGATGCAACTTGTCAGAGACCAGGTTGAGACGAGGGAAAGTCTCCATGGTGGAGGGCTTCGGCCTCAGCGACTTATGCCAGGAGCGCTGTGCCAAGTAACACGTCCTTGCCCTAACTTACTAACTGGCAACCAGAACTGAAGGGGGGTAAACTCTAGTCGATTTTATTACTGAAGTGTAACCTATGTACAAGTTGGATATATATATAGTTACAGTGAAGACGGGTCCGCAAATGGTGGAGCCAAGTGGAGCGGAACTAACGGGGTTAAACATTAGCCGACTGAATATTACCGACGAGTCAGGTTACGGGGTTAATGGAAAGGCAGGCAATAACCCAGAAACGGAAAGGAGGGATAGGCCCAAAGGTGGGCTCTGCAGGGCAGGTGAGTGTATTGCCCAGCGGAGGTGGGAGTGCGCTAGCGGATGTCAGAGCTGTCCGGAAGTCTTCGGGGCTCCGTACTTAGGGAGGCGTAGGTAATAAATTGAAAGGAGGGGGTGGTGACCATCGAGGGGTACCGAGGGGATTGTGGAATACAGGAACTCCAAGGTTAGTGAAGAAGGAGTGGAGGTAGACTGGAGGGATCGGAGGGATCGGAAGTCGATGGCTGGGGATGGATATGACACAACTTCAGAATGCGATGCCTGCTCCAGCTCCTGTCTCTGCAGTGGTGACGACTTCTAATCCTACCGTCAGGTTCCCCAATCCTACGGCTTTTACTGGCAAACCTTCTGGTGTTCGCTCCTACATCGCCGAAATCGAGTCCCGCTTCACACTTTATCCGAACCAGTTCAATACCGATTACGCTAAAACTACATATTTTGGCACTTGGCTCAAGAACGAGACCGCAATGAAATGGTTTATGGGAGTTACTCGCACTGATGCTACATTGTTGAGCGATTTTATGCATCTCAAAGAGGCTTTTGAGAAGCACTTTGGAGATGTGGATTACGTTGAGACCGCTCATCACAAACTTCGAGCTCTCAAGCATACTACTATTGGAAAGGCTGCCGATTACGCTGCTGAGTTCAAGCACATCAAAGTCAACTGCCAGCATTCCGATTATGACTATAGGTCGATTTACTTTGATGGACTACACAACACAATCCAGGCT